ACGCAAAGTCTATATACCGCTTCAAGTCAGACATAAATTTCACCGATGGTATGTGTGATGCTGTGCATCGATGGGCAGCCGACAATGAGGCGTACCAGGATTTGCAAAAGGTGTTTGAAGATTGGGATGGCACAGAGGACATGAAAAATGATTCTGAGTTCATCGTGAGGGTATGTTGTGCAATTGAGGGGTCGCCGAAGCGGATGTTACGTCTGGTACGTATGAAGTCACGAAATCGTTGTGGAAACTTGTTGGCTGACTAGTCTAGGGTATAAGAATCGAACTTGATGGTGGCCTGCTATTGGATATCCTTGAAGTTGACAGTGACTTGCCTGCTATTGAGGAAGTTGTCGAGGAGGTAAATGCTGAGGCTAGGTCGTAAGAACGAGGCTCATAGACAGTAGAAGCTTTGTGTTGGATGGGACTACCCAGGATACACCTTGCTGTTTATTGACCTTAGTGGCGTACACCAGTACTCGAGGTCGAGCGACAACGGAAACCGGCAAATTCATGCTCTAGTAGCCTAGAGTGAAACTGCCAGTATCGGACTGCCGATGTGTGGCAAGATCGTGCCTGGCGTGATGGAGATATCACTGCACATCACACACGAGGAGACGGAGAGGCAGGTTAGGGCTCAACCAAGCTATCGGCCAGTAGTCGTTGCTCTTGGAAGGGCGCCATTGTCGACTTTGCGCTCTTTGGAAAGAGGTATCGATTTGCTGTCATGCTTCTCGATCGTCTTCGATGCCGGCTTCTGCGTCGACTGACTAGAAGAGGAAAGACTGGCGCTCGGGATAAGCCATTTTACTGAGCGTGTGTTGTAGAAGGAAGACATTTTCGTATCAAAAGACTTCTTCGATGTTATGATGAACTTGTGGATTTCTTGCTCAGCAGAGACGAGAAGTATTCTCGAAGGATGCAAGACGCCATCTCTTTGGAGGTCGCAAGTTCGGTCTCATATCATCTCACCTGCTTTCGACCCCCCCGATATCACTTGAGTTGTGTTACCAGAGGCTGCATATGAGTAGCTGACCATGTATTGCGTGCTTTAGCTTCCGGTGTTGCATGGTGTTCTGATTGGACGACAAGCCGAAATGCTTATCACGTCATTTAGCTCCGGAATCGCTTGTGACGAATGTTGTTTGTTGTAGCACGTGGGCTCACTCATCGTGGGGAGAGCTCAAGAAAGGAAGAAGACACGAACAGGCGTCTTGCAACCTGCCTATAGAAAGAAGCAGAAAAATGATGCATGGAAAGGGACAGGAAGCAGAATGGAAATTGCGACAAGCCGCCGGGTCACGTGAATCCTTTCCTTCGTGACAGGATTGGACTAGTTTCGTGATCACGATGAGTAATGAGGACATTGCAAGGTTGAGCTGAAAACGTTTTTCTGGATGTCGGCGTTAAAAGTATGATTGTCAATACTCACTGTACGCTTTCTCAGACCATGTGTGAGCGCTTTATCAGAAATCGGTGACAATGGTAAAAGGGGTCTGAGTACCTAATTTCCACCACGTTCAAGCGTCAGCTAAACCAGCACCGGAGCTCTTACTTCTTCAAATAGGCCTGAAAACTTCTAGAGTCTGCGCCATTGGGAACGGTGTTTACTATTGGGCGACCTGGAGAGTGTGCATTTAGCACTTATCATCGTTGTCCTTGACGTGTGCTGGTTGACCAAAGTCTCGTGCTGCCAAGCTTGCATACACCAATTTCGATCCTGCCCCAGCATCTTTTTCCCCCTGAACCCCCCAGTACCGCTCAGTGGATGTGGCATCTATCTCATCTCTTCACAATACTTTCAGCTTCCCACAAAGTGCGCTTTGTGAAAGTTCTGTGATTGGTGCTGGGAGGATAAGCTCGTCTTGACTATTCATCGTGGGTGTCATCGCGGCCGACCCAAGCTTTGCCAAGAAGTATAACGGTCAACTTTTGCTCGTTACGGTCGAAGGCGAAAAACACTATTCCACTTTGAACACAAGAGCATGGCGTATCATCGCCTGCTTTCTGCAGGCCGAGGCCTAAAACGTTCGCCATTGTACATATGACCCCATTAAAAGGTATCCTTAATAGCCAAGTCGTTCCGAGAGTACTCTCCAGCTGTTACCAGCTGGTCAGCCACATAATGCGAGACAAGCCACGCTCAACTGCCACGTTCGATAGCCACGTGCGGAAGTCTTGTTCTGCCAACTATCACGACATACATCACCCCAATTTTTACCAGAAAAGAGACCTCTATGCAAACAAGAGTTTTGGTGGATGTACGGAAAATGACTGCTGTCAATGAGATTGTTATCAGGTGATTGAATGAATCCGCAGATTGCGGTGAAGCATTCTACTAGTGATACAGATGTGTACTTCTAATGTGGTCAAGTACAGAAGTCAGTGATCGTGCACAAGAAACAACTTGTGATTGCGCCACGATATGTTTCGGGCAGGCGCACCAAAATGGTACCAATTAAACTTCACGCTCTGTTGGCATTATTGCCGGAGCTGAGACCAAGTGCTTGATGTACTGGTGGCAAAACTGAGCTGTTCTCCTACTTCGGCTAGGACAATGCAAAAGAAGCGAGTATCAAGATATGCGGTCATACTATCATCGGCCTGACCCAATGCAATATAAGGAAATGGCATCCTCTGGTCGTGTACTGTTCCCCTACGCTGCAACAACCCTGTCACTCATTTTACATACTGACCATAGTCTTTCCTTCAATCATGTTGTTCTCGATTTTCTTAGCGAGTCTCGCCAGCTCGACTCTTGCTTATACCCCCGCATCAAGCACGAACACCAACGACCCTGTCACAACTGCAGGATCGGACTCCTGCCGTGTCCTTGACAGTGTTCCGAAGCACAACTACGAGTGCAACAGCAACAATGCGTTCTTTCGACTGGACAGTACGTATTATGCTCAGCGATGCAGAAAGCTTCCACCTAGAGAAGCAGAGACTCGCCACAAGATGCCGAATTCATATCAATGCGCTTGGTTATGCAAGGAATCCTCCGCTTGTGCTGCTTATACTTTCGCATCGCCATTCTACTGCACTCATTACCCTCAAAACAGTAACTCTTACGGAGACGCCTCCGGCAGCATTCCTGGCCTAGCTATGTACGACAAACTCAACGGAAATCCATGCCTGCCTTTTGCTTCCTCTGCGGCGCCAACTCCAATGGCTACCCCCGAAACGAATGTGACGGCTTCTACCGCCACTTCCCAAGACTACCCTGATGTCACGATGAGCAGCCCCTCTTTGAGCAGCACAGCTGGCAATGGGTATCAGGCAAACGCAGCTCAATGGGATGCTTGGTCATCAAACTCGCGATCTACTACAACTTCATCAGTTGCAACCACAGATGCCTGGGCCAATTGGTCCAATGGCTCAGGCAGTGGTAAAGTCACATCAGTCACCTCTCAATCCTGCGCCACGCCTTCAGCTAGTACTACGGTCAGCTGCACGACATGGCACATTGAGGATGCCGCGGCCGGTTACCCAGTCACTTCTAGCTGTACGACTGTGGTTGTCACTCCCACACCATTGTGCACTTCCACCTCTAAGGTCACATCAGTCACAGTCACAACCGCAGCTGCGACTTGGACCGATTGGTCTAACGGATCGGGGTCAGGAAGTGGTAGTGTCACATTCTCCGCCGCTCAGTCTTGCAGCACACTGGCAGTTAGTGACGTAACCAGCTGCTCAACCTGGCACATCGAAACAGCTGGGTACCTGATCACGTCTAGCTGCACAACATTCAAAGCGACACCGAGTCCAGTATGCGCTATCAGCACCAAGGGCAATGTTGCTACTCCAGATGCCACCGTCCCAGTGAGCTGGGGTAGCTGGAGTGGCGTCTCTAGTTTGAGTACTGCCAAGACTCCAGATGCCACAAACAAGCCCATCAGCGGAAGTGTAACAACGATCACCACCTCGTCTTGCACAACACCGGCCGCAAGCACCACAACCACCTGCTCCACTTTCCATCTCGAGGGCACAACAGATTACCCTGTCACATCCAGCTGCTCCACGTGGCATATCGAGACATCAGGCTACCCGATCACATCGAGTTGCACGACGTATCATCTCGAAGCCACAGCAACTTTCCCGATCACATCTAGCTGTGCAGTCGTCACTGCTACTCCACTTCCAGTATGCCCTGTGGTCTCAACGATTGTGACGGTCTCAGGCTCAGCCGCTACCGACTCAGCCAACTGGTCTGTGTGGGCTGCTACTGGCACTGGTGCTAAGATCCCCGCTAATGCGTAAGACTCACTAATGATACCGCATACTGAATATCTGCTAACGTGATTCTAGCTCCCTCACCGGAAGTGGTCTGATCGCGAAGTATACTGGTGCCGCTACCGTCAACGCTGCTTCCTTAGCCATGGCTGGTGCTGCTGCTGTCGCCGCCGTTGTGCTGGCATAAACTTCTGATGTTCGGTTTCTCTTGATTAATGTTGGCCTCGAGCTGGGCTAACTGGTGTGGTACGATTACTACTGTACAGTAAGCTCACTTCCAGAGGGCGAGACAAATATATGACCTGAACGGCGCAGTTGGCGAAGGAGGCGTTGGGGAAGTTGATGTTGTCATGGCTGCCTTTACTGCTATTTTCATAGTGTTGCTAGCATCGTGATTGGTACTTACGAGACAGATGCATTCACGCCAGCTAGTCATTAGGAAATCAAACAGTTGATCAAGAAAGAACAGGGTTTTGGTTTTTGGTGTGTATGTACTTTCTATGGTCTCTCCAGCTCCACAGTGCAACAATATCAGGTGTCTGTTCTGTCAGTTTCCTGTCGATTTGTGCTCGTGATCTAGTCAACCGTAAGGTTGAATAGAGTTCCAGCCCGAACTGTAGCCGCCTGGCGGCGCCAAGCCACTGTCGCAGCTTACACGCGCTCAACAAAAACCATACCATAATGCAACAAACTGTGCGCAAACCAAGCACCTCTAGAGCTATGTTTTCGATGGGGCTTGAATAGATTATGCAAACGAAAAATGCAAAAAGAGGTCTTACCCGGATTCGAACCGGGGTTACCGGAAATTCCGTGAGGAGGATTTCGAATTTGTTTCAAAATCCGGTGTGATCACCACTACACTATAAGACCGTGCAGGCGATAGACATTTTGTGTGTCGTTCTGAGCCGCTTTTACGGTCTACATAATATATGACTGTGTTTGCAAGTGAGAATGTAGAATTGTTTTCGAGTTTGAGACGCAAGCGCCTAGCGACGGCAATTGGCGGCTCAATTGACCCCTAAGCCTGAAGAAGTTCGCCTTTTGGTGCTCGTCCTGTCTACCACAACCCGTGTGTATCATTCGATTTTCCATCGTTAGCGTGAGTACGAACAGACCACAGTCACCTGGGTAAGTCTTCAAGGACACTGCTGACTCCGCCAGCCTATTGTTTGAACATGTACAGCATCTAACCAGTCTTCTCCAACTTGCACTCTCCCACATTCATCGAGTTGATGCTTGGATGGCTCAGGATGCTCTTGTTGCATCCTACTTGATCAGACTCTTCTTGTTCTTCCTCCTCAAATTTCCGCGAAATCTTGCTATAGGCTGTTGTTAATGAAGAGGCGTGCGGCCAAGTAATCCAGCCCATCGATACTGTCTGCCATCATGGTATGCTACCTAACATGGACTAAGGGTTAGGGTTAAAAAGCTACTTATCGATAAGCATTGAAGATCAACATGCCGAGGCTCGGGACTCAGCCATGAGGTAGTTATTACTTTCATGTTTATTCCCGAAGAAGTTCACACCAGATCTTCCTCTTCGGGAATGTGGTTCTGGTAAAGCAAACCAATTGTTCTGTTCGCTTTGGTTCAATAAATTTTTCGCCGCACTTCACAGCCCTCGAGTACATTTCCTAACAAGTTCAACATTTTTTGTTTTTTGCTGGGCACGTTCAACACAGCAAGTACAATATATTCAGGATTGAGGCGACTACAAAAACCAACTACCCGAGCCTGAAATTTCTTTTGAGGCCCGTATCTCGTTCTTCAACCTAATATCAACCTTCCACAATGGCTTCTTCCAGTCCCTCCTCGTCAACAACCACTCCCCTTTCCGACTCCAATTGGCCGGACCGGGACCATGCCATCCCTTTTCGCCACATGATCGCCCTCAAACCTCACAGCAGCACTTCTACCTCAAGCAGTACGGTCTTCACCTCACTGTCCGCAGGATACCCGCCTACGCCAACTCCACGCACTTACGGCGGGCATGTCTTCGCGCAAGCGGGTTGGGCTGCGGCACATACCGTTCCGTTTGGTATGCATTTACACTCCATTACGGGCTACTTTCTGGAACTGGGTGATACGAGGTACGCGTTTCGGTATGTTGTGCGCAAAGTGCGGACTGGAGGTATCTACGCGCTAAGGTATGTGGAGGTTTACCAGGATGCTGGAGAGGCGACAAAGGGAGCGAATGGAAAGGGCGTGTTATGTTTTGCGTCAATGGTGGGGTTCAAGAGGGATGAGGCGGGGAAGCATAAACCTGACTCTAAGGGAAGGACGCAGAGGAGGGCGTTCGAGCATCAGGAGTTGCCGAAAGATTGGCTTGAGAAGGAGTATGGGGTTGTGCTTGCGAAAAAGAAGAGATTTGAGGAGTGGCCAGTTTGCCAGGGTATGGATGGCCTATGGAGTGATGATATGAGTGTGCGCGAGTGGAAGCAACGAGGAGATGCGTTTCCTGGGTTGGAGATGAGAAAGGTTGACATGAGGGGCTACAATCCAGACAAGGTGCCAATGGGAGGTGTTGTCAGTGGTGATGACGGTAGTGCAGCCAAGAAATGGAGGTTATTGGTTTTGTATCGGTTGGTGGACGATAGGGAGGATGGTACTGGGGAAGCAGCGAAGCAGAAGAAAACTGGTGCCGATGATGTGATCAATTTGCACGCTTGCGCTCACCTCTATGCTTCTGACCGGAACAGTCTATTTCTCGCGCAGCGGGCACTTGGGTTCCAGAATGTGAGGGGCCAGATGGGTTCGTTGTCGCACACGGTCAACTTTCATGGCTATGCGAAGGAGTGGTTGATGGTCGATGAACAGACAGGAAGGCCGAAGGAGTATATTCAGGAGTCATGGATAAGTAACAGTGGAGCGGATCGAGTGACGCATAACAGTCGGTTGTGGGATAAACAGACTGGCAAGATCATTGCGAGCACGGTGCAGGATGGGATGATGAGAATGCCAACAGGGAACACGCAGAAGATTGTCGATGGTGATGCTATTGTGAGGAGAGAGGCAAAACTATGATGTCTGTTGTGTCTTGTAGGACTTGTAGCTATAGATTCCTGATTCTGTAGATCCCAAGATACCATATAGGGATAGATATAGAATGCTTCGTTGCATGTTTCCACAACAGTGTGATATTCATTCTTCAGACGAGTTAGTATTACGACAAGACCTATAGATACTCTCTGATTATGACGCGCAACAGCACACGCTAACCATCGACCTCAAATACTCTCGGTTTGACCTCTAAGCCTCAACCTTGGTCTTGTCCTCCTCGATGACAGTTGCAGGGCTACCAGTCGGATGCCTAAGCAATGGTCCCGTTCCCTTATACATGAGATCCTTTACCCAACGCGTGCCGTCATCCCACCACCCATGCTGATCAGGTCGTACACCTTCCAGGTCGAGGCTCTCTTGATCTGATATGCGTCAGTTATCTGCGGGATTTGGATCATGTCTACAGCTTTACCTAATGTCCCCATCGCAATGTCGATGAGTGGTCCCAAGTTCCAATCCGGCCCTCGATCTCCCGAGAAGTGGTAAGCGACTGGTGTGCCGCATCTTGTACAGAACGTCCTCTGTGCCTCGCCATCCGATGAGTAAAGCCCAATATAAGTCTCTGCCTGAAGCTCCTTGGATGGCTTCACGATATCCTGCGTCTCATACCTCACCATCTTATCCTGTTGTTCCCGCGAATTGATATGGCCGACCGAGCCAAGCTTCTCATCCCGTGGTACGAGTTTGAATGTCACCCACTTTAGCTCAAAGATGATCCAAACCTGTAATAGGGAGCCACACGCGCGACGACAGGAGTGACAATGATCATACTCAATGGTTGGCAAACGATTCGGGACAGTTGTAGTGGCTTCAGCTGCAGCGTCGGAACTTGGTGCAGGCTGGTACGTTATGCTGGAGGCAGGCGGAATTGAAGTTGGGAGGGCTCCAGGCACGAGTGGGCGTTCTGAGAGAGCCGGGATGCAGATCTCATAACGAATTGCTGAGCAGAAGCAGCCACCTTTGAGGGTTAGAGGCCCTGAAGGAAGGAAGGCCATCTTAGCCTAGACAAAAATGATTCTCTGATGAGGAAGTTGCAGGAACAAGTAGTTTTGGAGAGATATTTGTGTGAACCTATTGCGAAGGTCAGCATCACCAAAGTGTACGTATTCGAATACGAGATGAGCGATCGTCAGGCACCAGTAAACGCCTGCCTAATGTTAATCCTGGAGTAAAATTCTATCTCAGCTGGAGAATGAGCAAATTTGGAAGCGAAATAAGATACGAAGAGAAGAAGTGTGCTGTCTCAAGCAGTCTATCTGCTGTGCACTATCGTCAGATAATAGGTATTGATATTCTGTTGTTAAAGGCGAAAGGGATATCGAGTATACCAGAGTATGCTGCTAAGATGAGCCACTGCCCAAGGTAATACATGAGCATGTAACTGGTAGAATTCAGCCCAAAGAGATGTTTCAAGCTCAACTCGTATCGTTTGTGCTGCCGGTAGAGCAACGTGCCTTGATCTGTACCACCTGAGGTTTACGACAGCAGACGATATACCCACTAACAGCTTTGATGCCGCGAGTTGTGCTCTACTCAATAGTCTTGCCGTATCTTGAGAGAAGCGGCATCAGATGTGTTTGCACAAGACAAAGTACGGGAAGAGATGCGGAAGAAAGTCGATGCTCGGACTTGGTAAAGATGTCATCTTGTAAGCGACACTAGTACACAAAGCAGCTCCACTGCCCGGGTGCAACTGCCACGATGATAGAGAGATAGACGGTCACGTGGCGATAAGGCGAGGCTTATCAATGACCTGTTGAAAAAAGGTCGACGGCTGAAAATCGCAGAGAAAAAGTGATCACTATCGCCATGGCTCAAAAGCCACGACGGCCTCCTTCAAGGCCCCGCCAGCAGTCTCAGAACAATGCACGATCTCTCAAACGAAAGCGAGAGGTCGAGAACATTGATGCGCTCAGTCAGCGAGTGGCCGATTTGGAAGTGAAACTATCGACACCACCACAAGATTTCTCCGATCTGCCTCTTTCGCAACCTACCCAAGCTGGGCTTGAAGCATCGCACTTTAAGAAGCTCACCACCATTCAATCGAGTGCAATCCCTGCTGCATTGAAAGGTCGCGATATTCTAGGAGCAGCCAAAACTGGTTCTGGCAAGACTCTCGCCTTCCTTGTTCCTGTGCTTGAGAACCTCTACCGCAAACGATGGACCGAGTACGATGGCTTGGGTGCTCTCATCCTCTCTCCAACTCGTGAACTTGCCGTTCAGATATTTGAGGTACTGCGAAAAGTTGGCCGTAATCATGCCTTCTCTGCAGGCCTGGTCATCGGCGGGAAGAGCCTGCAGGAAGAGCGTGAACGTCTGGGGAGGATGAATATTCTTGTGGCTACACCAGGTCGAATGCTTCAGCACATGGATCAGACGGCCGACTTCGGTATCGAGAATCTCCAGATGTTGATCCTGGACGAAGCGGACAGGATCATGGACATGGGCTTCCAGACTGCGATTGATGCGATAGTGGATCACCTTCCGAAAGACAGACAGACACTATTGTTCAGTGCGACTCAAACGAAGAAGATCAATGACCTTGTGCGACTCAGTTTGACTGAACCTGAGTTTGTTTCGGTCCACGAAACCGCAAACACAGCGACACCGTCCAAGCTGCAGCAGAACTACATTGTCACACCCCTGCCTGAGAAACTCGATGTCCTCTGGTCCTTCATCCGTGCCAATGTGAAAAAGAAGATACTAGTGTTCCTGAGCAGTGGGAAACAAGTCCGCTTCGTCTATGAAGCCTTCCGCCATCTCCAGCCTGGTATACCACTTCTTCATCTTCACGGTGGCCAAAAACAGAC